CCAAGAGGTACCTTGAGGCCTAGAATATCAACAAGGCCTCTTAGCCAATGGTTTGAATTTTACTATTAGAGGTTGATAACTTTCCTGGTAAGTTTGTAAGCCAGTGGTGACAGACATTTCCTTTTTATTTTTTAACCAAAGTTTATTCTTAAATGTACAATAGGCTCCAGGACAACACTTCATTTTAGCCAAAGGTGGCAAAAGATGTTATGGCAGGGAATACAGATGTTTAAATGGGAATCCAGGGTCATCACAGCCTCAGGCACAAGGAACAGCTTACTTTTTGCCAGATTTCTTAATTCCACCTGTAGCCCGGGGCCCCTCCCCGTGGCCTTCGCTTTTAGCTCTTCCAGGTTCTTCTGCTCCTCTTTTTGTTTCTGCTTGAGCGCCTTGCATCCGTCTCCTTGGCCTGCTTCTTGGGCTGTTTCAGGGGCTTTTTCTTGCCACTTTCTCGGCCAGACATGGTGCCGCCACCCCTTCCCCAGACCCTGCCACCAGAAAAAGGCCATTTCCTTTGTATTTATTTTTGAAATTCTTATCTACTAGGGTTGCAGGGATGCCAGTGGCAATCTCATCTCAGTATTTAATGAAATACTGAGATGAATAATGAAATCCATACCCTTTACCCACCACTCCCAGATCTCTCAAGACTGCAGGGGAAGGTAAAACATCTTCTCTTTGGGGGCGACCCTTCATTAATGAGTCCACCCCATTGGTGGTTCTGGAACGTTCTTAAGGAGAGTGGTTCTAGGAAGGAATGACAAACACATACTGCAGAGAGGACGGGGCTCCAAACACACTCCATCAGCTGTCACCTAGGTCCAGCCCCCTGGTGGTTGGCAGATCAGTTCTGACCAATGGGCTGTGAGTGGGCGTGGCTTGTGTCATTTCTGGGCTAAAGCTCGGAGGAGGCAGCGTCTCTGACCCTTCATCAGTTGCTTCTTCCCTTCTCCTGGGGTCTGGAGATGTCTCAGGAGGCAGAGGCTGACTCCTGTACAGCATAACCCCTCTCCCTGCCATCTACCTGAACTTACAGCAGAGTGAAATATAAACTTTTGTGTATTAAGCTATGAAATTTCAGAATTATTTTGTTACCAATTTTGTTACCAAAATTATTTTGTTACTATGCATAGTCTAACCTATCCTGACTGATACAACAGGTATTCTAAGTGCCTTTTATTTCAACAATTCAATTTTAAAATATTTAAAACACTCAATATGCATATTATTGTATATGTGTAAAATACAAGGTTAAAAAGTGTAGGCTCATAAAATTGTGTGCAATAAATAAAACACGAATTAGTATCTCATTTACTTTTTTGTTGTCTTTTGGTTTTTTCATGCATTTAACATAGGGTACTTCGTTTGTTACCCAATGTGGGCAGTGGATTTAGGAGTGGGTAAATCAAATTTTCTCTGCAGTGAGTGAATGAAGCCTGAAACAATGTATGGTCTCATGACGCTCAGAAGAGTGGGCAAAGACCTAGAATGGGAGTCAGGAGATTTAAGGGCCATGGGATATTGAGAATCACTCTCTTATTTGAAGCTTAATTCTTCCTCCATGATCCTTTCCCACTCAATCCCATGTTGGTCTGTCCCCTCTGGACTGCTGCAGTGGTAATTAGCTGTGCTTCATGTTATAGTCTGTGCAGCCTGTCTGATGTCCACCTGTTCATTCTAGAAATACTTGCTGAGTGCCAGGGTGGAATCCCATGTTGAGTGCTGGGAACACAGAACGGAGCCAGCCCTTCAAGACCTCACAGTCCAGGAGGAAGCTCACTTCCAGTTTCCTCAAAGCCTTGGAATTGTTAGGTTTGCTGCTCATCAGCCTCCTTGTGGGGGGATATTTTGCCCTTTGCTGTCCATTCACCGTCCTCACACCTTGCTCCAGACACGGCTGGTGCAATGTCCCTGCTAGGCTCACTGAGCAGCCAGTGCCACTCTCTTGATCTTTATTAAAACCCATTCCCAAAGTGAAATGGTTCTCCCTGTTTTAGTTAAGATCCATTTAGTCATCCTTCACATTGTGTGCTTCTGGCAAAGTTGCCTTCATTTCCCATCCCCATGGCTTACTCAAGGACAGCCAGGCTTTGCATTGGGTTGCAAGCTGCTGTGGAAACGTGTGCATCTGGCACCTGCAAAGGCTATCAGGTGGCCGAGCACCCAGCAAAATCTGTCCTGCTCATGAGCACACACTGTTAAAGCGCTATTAGCACCAAGTGCGACATTTCGTGAGAAGGCCATCTCTAGCATCCCCCTTCTGCCCACTGCTGACATTCAACTTGAAATGAACTCCTTCCATATGCAAGTCAAAGCAAGACTTTTCAACTGTCAGCACCACAAGCTCAAGCTAGTTCTTGGCAGTGATCTGGGTTTCCTTTTGCCTGTGGCAGAGCATTAGCAACCTAAGCACAGCTAGGAGCAGAGCTGTACCAATGGACTGGGGCCTTCCCAGATATGAGGAGTACCTTGGCCCTGGCCTGCACAACCCTCTGAAAGACATCAGCCCTGGTCCCTGGGGGTTCAGGCAGTGCAGTCAAGAATGACACAGTTATAGCCTTTTTTTGGTAGGCCAGTTTGTTCTCTCTGCAGCTAGATCAGGGTGAACAGGCGGCAGGCAAACAACTAGCATTTGTCGGGGAAGCTGTACCAACAAGGTGCGATAGAGCCAGAGCAGAGGGCAGGTCATGAGCTGATTGTGCTAAGCCCTGTCAACTAATCCTTTAGAAACCCGATGGTAATCAATGCCACCCAAGGGTACCAGATGTGCCAATAAAAACCTCTTGCACCTTTGGCTAAACATGGCTTGAGATTAGCATTGGGTGAGAATATCTGTTGTTTGTAGGCACTCCAGACTGCTGAATTCCAAAGTGACTCTTTTGATATTGATAAATAATGTGGCACACGATTCACCCGGCCCCATGGAAATTGTGCAGATCCTTAATTATGAGGGTGCTTTCTCAGGGCACATTAGAATATCATGCTTAATTGAGTTGTTATCTTTGCCTCTGCCAGGGCTTTTGTAAAACTGCACAGCAAGCTGCCCTTAGAAGTTTTGGCCTTTGTTTGCAAATCATCAGTTCAACTTGGACTATGGTTTCCAAGAATTAAAAAGGAAAAAAGGTGCAGAAAAATTACATAGAGTGAGACTCCCAAAGTAGGTTTTGTGTTTTTCTTTCTTCCTTTTGATGAACGGGTCACAGATTGCAATTCTAAACAATCTCGCAAGTAATTCTTGAGTTATGCAGTCCAATTAGAACAAATGCTTCCTTTCTGTTTTAATTAGAGATGAGGACACGCCTGTGAGCCTATTTGTATAAAATAAGTGCTCATTAAACAAGGTTTGGATCTGGTTCAGCTTGTCAGAAATGCCATGAAAGGGAGCTTTCTCTCACTGTCTCTGGCTGCCTTAACCCCTTCATCGTCCAGAGTGAACTCCATAGCTGTGAGGAGTATCAAGGGTATCTTTGCTGAACCTGGTGAACTTGAAAGAGGTGATGTGTTTGCTGAGCCTGCTGGTGAACAAGCCCCTCTACTCATCTTCTGACACTAGCAGCAGCAGCAGCACCTGGGAGTTTGCTAGAAACACAGAGTCCTATGTCCCCACCTCAGACTCATGAGAATCTGTGTCGTGACAAGATCCGTAGGTGATTCATGGATGTGTTACAATTTGAGGAGCACTGGTCTAAAGGCAGCAAATCATGAAGATTTTATTTAAAAAATCCATGGGTCCTTAGGAACCCTGAGAATGCCACTTTACTCAAAGAGAAGCCAGCTGTTGGACCTCTCGGTATGGTGGGGAACTGCCACTTTGATCCCCCACACTCTCTGCCAAAGACTCAAACGTGTCCCTCCTGTCTCATCCTCCAGTGAGTTCCCAGGACTAAAGGGCCTGTGAGCAAGGATGTGAGTCCCAGGGCAGCCCCTACCTTCATCTGTGTCTTCGCCTCTTCCTGTCCCTTCAGTATGTTACTGAGCACCTGCCGCATGTCACACCCCAGGGTGGCTCTCTGGCTAGTGAGGGAAAGGAGAATTCTTGCCCTTGAGGGGCAGCTACTCTTGTGGGCTGATGCTGCGGGGAGAGGGATGACAGGCATAGTGAGTGGGAAAAGTCTCAGGACCCCCAGGCCTAAGGTGCCCCCACGAACAGATTGCTCATGAGAGCCACATCCAAATGTCCTGGGAGTAGGAGCTGTTGTCTTGGAGGGGAAGGCTCCATCTATATAGTATCTGTCATGTGCAAGGAGACAACTTCCAAGACTCAGCCTCTGTGCATGGTATCAAACAGTAAAAGCGAGCTTAGGTTGCCAAATGTGCTGCATGCCACCTTGATGTATTACTCTGCTCAGCAAGAATTTATCTATTTTTTTTCCTCATTTATTTTATCAGAAAGTAAAACCTGGCTCTAACAAAATAATAACATCAGGAGAGTAACCAACAGACCTGAGGCCCTCTATGTTCACTCATATTGCTCGGTGCTCACATTTTCTTCAAGTAGCTGATGGGAAGAAAGCACAGATAAGCTTGTTTTACTACATGGTGCCTGCAACAGCATTGAGTAGGTAGTAGCTGATTTAAAATTTCTGTCTTTCCATCCCAGACTCTGAGACTAATATTATTTTAGTCTCAGAAGGTAAATCATCATTAATTGACCTTGAGGCTGGCCTTGGTCTGACCTAGTACCCTGTGTCCCATCATTGCCCTGGTGATGGGCCCAGTAGTGTCACCTCTACCAGGCCATCTCTCTGTCTGGCAGGACTGCAGGCAGCTCCACACAGCCTCAGCCGGGCTGTTGCTCCCCAACTCTCAGCTCCAGCCTGTATGTGGGACTGCCCTGGCTCCCATTCCTGCTCCCCTGTATCTTTTGTTGGTGAGACAGGAGCCTGGAGGAAGATCTGGGGAGGGAAATAGGGAAGGAAGCATTGCTCCCTGTCAATAAATATGATTTCTTTTACCCAGATGATGGCATTATAAATCAGTTCATCATCATTTAATGGAGATGGGATAGCAGAAGCGGTAGGGAGTCTGGGGGTGGCAGACTCAGCTGAGATGAGATCAGACCTGGAAGAGTCAAAATAGGGAGCTGGGATCAGGTATCCATGTGGCATGCTGGAGACTTTGAATATAATTTTAAAGAAAGTTCAGTTGGAGTTCTTGTGTAAGCCTTTTAAAATAAGTGCTATTTTTGAAAATCGCACAAGCAAAATACATTCAGTGTTTAAAAATAAAATAAAATTTAAATGATCAAACATTACTCAATCTACCATACTTAACATTTTCTTATATTATATCCTTCTACATTTTATGTATATAGAGATTTATAAATTTGGATATGGCATAAGATGGAATCACACTGAACAGAGTTGTATATGCTTTTTAGTTAATCCTATATCATGATCAACTTCTACAATATCGTTGTGTGTGACTGCATAGTTTTACATTGGTGAATACACTATAGTTTTTGCAGCGATTTGTTGTTATTGCATATTTAGGCTGTTTCATCTATCATCTATCTATGTTTTACTATCCTAAACAGTATTAAACTATATTCTTGTAGTTAAATCTTTGTACATACCCTCAACTATTTCCTCAGAATAAACACATAAATATGTAATTGCTTGGTTAAAAGGAATTTGCATTTTAGGAATTTTAAATCATATTGCCAAGTTGTCTTCCAGAAAGCTTGTATTGATTTGTACACTTGTTAGAAATACCTTTCTCACTCTAGCCAGTGGTTCTGGGGAAAAAATTCCCTTTGTGTTTTGGGGCCAACAATCAGAATTAACTTCTACCATATTCCCACTCAGAGTCCTCCTTGGCCCTCTTTCAACAATAGGTAAGATAAAATCTGAGCCTTCAAGAGCCAGGAACCGAGAAGACGGCATCTTGAAGCCTTGTTCTTATGCCTCCTAAGTGCTCTGGAGGGTGAATAAAACAATGGGGACCTGGCACAGCAGCCTGAGAGGCCACCGTACAGGAAGCAGAGTGCGGAGCACTGTGCCAGCCTCCTGCTGTCACCAGCCTCGTTGGAGAGCCTGGTGTGTACTGCCACTGAGTATCACAGCTACCGGGAAGCAAGACGCCGTCCGCCTATGGAAGGGAGCAGCACACACAGAGGGAGGAAGGCCAACCTGAGCCAGGGCTGTGGCTCCCAGAGTGGAAGAAACACAAAGGAACTTTAGCTTTCCAAAAAAATAAATGTAAACGTTCAAGGAGATGCATTCACAGAGCCCTCAAAAGGAACTTTTTAAACTAAAATATACATTTGCAAGTTAAAACATTTAGAAGAAGAATTGATAAAGGGGACATGATGATTAAATATCTCATAAGAAAAAGGCAAAAAAAAAAAAAAAAAAAAAGGAAGGAAGGGAAAGTTCAGCAAGTGCCACACAGGATTAACATTAATAATAACATTAATGATAACATTAATAATAACATTAATGATAACAATAATACAGACCAGACCAGAGCTGGTTAATAGAACTTTCTGCAATGATGAAAATGTTCTGTGCTGTTCAGTATGATAGCCACTAGCCACACAGGGCTCTTGATGATTTGAGATGACCATTATGACCAAGGAACTGACTTTTACATTTTAATTATGATTAATTAGCATTTACATTTCAATGTGGCTAGTCAGTATCACATTGGACAGCTCAGATCTAGACATTTCCTAGTGAAATTTCCGAAATACATGTGTCAGAGTAAAAGCTTATAAACTTCCAGGCAAATACAAAAGTTTACCTTTTAAATACAGTGGTGCCCCCTTATTCTAATAGTGTACATTCTGGGAAAGGCTTCCCCAGTGGATGCCTAAAACCAGGGATAGTATACTGTATTTTTTTCATATATATATGATATATATATATCTTATATATATATTTTTTTCTTATATATATATAAAGTTTAATTTATAAATGAGATGTAGTAAGCGATTAACAATAATAACTAACAATAAAGTAGAACAATTATAACATTATTCCAGCATTGCTACACTTGTGCTTTGGGGCCATTATTAGGGTCTCTTGAGTACAGGAGCTGAGATAGCGTGATAGTTGGTCTGATAACCCAGAGGGCTACTAGACTGCTGATGGGTGGGTAGCGCCCACACTATGAACATGCTGGGTAATTCACATCCCCGGCCAGATGGAGCTGGAAGGCACAAGATTTTCATTATATTGCTCAAAAGGGCAAGCAATTAAAAACGTATGAATTGTTTATTTCTGGAATTTTCCATTTAATATCTTCAGACCTCAGTTGACCGCAGTTGATTGTGGGTAACTAAAATCACAGAATGCAAAACTGAGTATAAGGGGGAACTACTGTATAGAAAATCAGATTAGTATTGGACTTCTCATCAGAGACACTGTGAGTTAAAAGAAATAGAAACATATTTAAAAACTGTTAAAAGAAAAACGATTGAAAAATTCCCTATTCTGTCAGAATGTCATTCTTATATAAGGGCAAACATTTTGACAATTTTAGATTTGTAAATATTCAGAAAGAACATTACTCTTCTCTGAGAAAAGACTCAAGTACTCCATGAAATATAAATGACAACAAAATAAAGATTTACAAGCAAGAAATAGAAAATGTCCAATAAACTCTGGTGTATAATAAATCTTACAAAAAGGACGACGATGTCATTGGAAACTGTGACTTGAGTAAGTAAAGTTTCTTGAAACACTAAAAATTAGGAAACTAGAGACTAGGAAAAACTCAGTAATAGCCTGAAACAAGAACGAAAAGCTGTATTACCTGTGCACATAGAGAATATGTTGTCATTTTTTATACTTCATGGAATAGGTAAAAAAGTCAATTTTTCCCTTGGTTAGAATAAAGCCCTTATACATTTCAAATAAGGGTGCTTTTATAGATCATATCTGGTGACCTTAATCCTTTATCCCCAAATCCTCAAACCCAGAAAAGCATTAACCAAAGATGACACCCAAAAGCTTAATTAAAATTTTAGAAACATTTACTAAGTAAATTCCCACATGAAAAAGTAAATAAAGGTTATAACTGTATGTTGTATAAAAATTAAACTCAAACCTAGGGTCATGGTATGTGTATTTTATCGCAATTTTTCAAAAGCTCTAAAATATTAAAACTTAGAGAATATAGCCAAAGCTATGCTTGGAGGAAAATTTATAGCATATAACTATAGCATATAATTATAGCATATAAATTTATAGCATATATTTTAAAAAATAAACTATATAAAGTACAATACAATAAAGCAAAAAGAGTTAGAAAAGAATTAATAAAAATAAAATGAAATTAATGTAATATAAAATAAAAAGGTAAAAAAATAAAAACTTACTTTATTAAAAGATGAAATAGATAAAACCATAGTATTATATAGAAAACAGAAAACCCAAAATATAACATTAAGAATGAAAAATAAGGCATAATTAGAGACACTAAAAGGGAAAAAAAACTATTGCTGCATACTTTATGAAACTCTGCAATAATACATTTGAAAAATATTGTAAATCAATAATTTTCTAACAAAACATAAGTAATAAAATTGTCTCAATAATTTTAGAAAAATAAACATACTAAAAATCTGCCCTGTTCTGTTAATTTTCACAGCTAACAACCAACTTGTACTCAAAGAATAGATAATTCTTATGTTATTAAAATGTTTTGGTATATAGGAAGTTATTAAAATTTCTCCAACTCAATTCAAATCTATTACAACCTTAATATCAAAATTTGAGAAAGATGGCAGTGAAGCCAAGGGGGAGGGCAAGGGCAATATACATAATCTAAACATTTATACCCCCATAATATGCTGAAATAAAATAAAAACAATGAACATATGAACAAAATAACTTTTAAATAAGAGACTAGCAAATAATATCCAGCAACATAGTGAAAGAGTGACTATTACAGCATGAGTTTATAATTGAAAGAATGGTTCACCATCAGAAAATCTAGGAACCTAATTCTTAATTCAATTAAAGGAGAAAAACTGAATAATTGTATCAGTAGACTCCAATAATTGTATCAATAGATTCACTTGATGAAATCTGGAAGACATTCTTCATAAAAACTCTACCTCAGTGAAGATGAGTAAATTGAGTAAAACTGAGACATGCCTCAAACTATGAACAAGTACATTAGAAGGTAAAATGCTGAAGCTACTTCCATTAAATCAAGGCTAAGAGAGGGTGCCCACCATTATTCAATATTGTTTGAAGCTTCCAGAGGAATACATATTAGAATTTAAATCTTTGTTTTCAGGAAATATTAATGTGTTTCTAGGAAACTTGAAAGATTATTTCAAAACCAATTAGCATTCATAAGAGACTTTGATAAGGTGTTATGTAGTTGTGTGTGTAAAATCAATTCCTGATATAGCAATAACTAGTTAGAAAAGGGAATAGGAAAAATACCCATTTGTAATACATACAAAAACTATAAAATGCCCAGGAATAAATTTAATAAGAATGAAGAACACTGTAAAACTTTATTGAAGGACTAAAAACAAGATAGAATCAGGTAGAGAAACATACTGCATCCCTGAAGTAGAGACTTTTATCATAGGTCTTGTACCTTGTGGAACCACAGGCTACACAAAAGTCATTTCCCATCAGGGTCCCAGCTCTTTTATCATGAGGCCTTACCACTCACACTTCTTAATTTGCAGTAAGTATGTAAGTACAAATGTGTAAGAATTCCTAATAAAAACTTGAAAAGGATGAATACTAAGGGATGGCAGAGAGGATTTTGCCTAGACAAATGTGAAAATGTAATATAATCCTTATGGACTCATGTAGGGGACTGACATTATATTTTCCTAGTTTAAGAATTAAATTTAGTGAGTAATATACATGCTTTTCCCAGAGCATTTAAAAGTAATGTTCTCCAGACAAGGTCCCTGTGACAAACAAGGCTGTTGCCTAGAGGCATAACAAAGGACCTGAGCTGCAAGTAAGCAAGAGCTGCCCAGCCCCATGGCAGTGGGGGTCTGGAGGCCACACAATAAACACATTGTTCCTGTGATTGCTGCTTAAGCCCCATAAGATGGCTGGTTAGTCAATGACGGGTAAGACCCCTCAAGAGAGGGGCGACCTAAGCCATGCACAGCCGCCGGGGGTTCAGCCTAAGAGAAATTGGGGATGAGAAATGCCCCCTGTGGCTACCTTGCCCATCTTTGCTAATCTCAGTCCGTGATCTATGTCTGGCACCTAGAGCAACCACCTGGAAACTTTGAGTCAGGGGATATCTGTGTCCCTAAGGCTACGTGTTCTGGAATTTATGGTCATTGCTAAAATGCCTGGGTGGTTACGTACAAGAAACTAACTTTAATTTTTTAGAGTATAAAAATAAAACTGACCGGTGTATTAACACTAGAGTCAATTGTCTGTATGTGTGTCTGTGTTTTTCCTTGTGTTCTGCGTTTTGTTTTGTGTTCTGTGTTCATCCTCTGTCCTGTAAATGGGCCACAGCAGACTCAACATAGTGAGGCAATGAAATCAGGGCTGGGGAAAGCTAAAAAGCCCTTGGGTTCCTTGGAGGAGGTCGACTGGAGGAAAACAGATGACAAGAAGAAGACATTATAGAGGGTTTTGCAAGTTGGGGTGTGTGGATATATGTAGGGATCTGATAACTCTCTCTCTGAAAACCTGAAATATGTTTTATTTTAAATTACAATGGTGAAAACAAATATTATCCTATTCTGGGGCATCTGATCATCACTGATAACTAAGGACTGCCATAAAATTTTGGGGCCATATTTGCATTTACAATTGCATTGACAATTGTATCAGTGGTAAGCAGTGCTGATTTAATAATCCTGTGCTAATAAGAACAGAGGTAGATTTAAAACATAGATGATGTGTTTACCTTGAGTACTCAATGCTGATGTTGCTCAGTGACAAAAAATGGACATCAGTTCAAACAACAAGCAGGCATTGAGTCTTCACATGACAAATAACATTCTCGCATCATATCTAAGTCAAAAGGATCTGCCCCAAATCACGGAGTACCCTGTTCACATTCTGACCAGTCGCTTTGTTATAGTTACGCTCTATGTTAATTTGAAGTTTACTGGCTTCATAGCTCTATTTGTACTCATTTTGTAAAACATATTCAGCTTGATAGTTGTAGAGCTAAAGAATAAGGAGTTTATGCCTAACATATATTTGTATAAATTACAATCAAAATAACTGAAGTAAAAAAAAATTGAGGTAATATTTACATGCAGCAGAATGCACAGATCACAAGTGTAGAATTAAATGAGATTTGAAAAATGGGTATGCATAAGTAATCATATCTAGATTCAAGATCTAGAACATTCTTATCACTCCAGAAAGTTTCCTTATGTTCTTTTCCAATCAAACCTGAGAAAACCACTGAGCTGATTTCTATAACCATCATAAAATGTTCTTGTCTATAAACTAACATATATGGTTGCATTCTTGATCTTCTTTCCTGTAATATATTGAGATAGCAGGGAGGGTAAGGGAAGCTGATTACTCTATTTTATGAACCTGTCTGGTTTTATGCAGATAGCCCCTTACAATGCCTATTGATCTCAAAGGGCCTCTAGTTAAAAATAATCTTTATGCCAACAAGTCATCTTTCAGGACGAAATTTCCTGAGCTCCTTCAGTGGCCAGAGTTAGCAGTTTGGTCTGTGTTCCCCCCTACATACACCCAACAATGTTCTCAATGCTTATTCAAACATGCAATATATATATATATATATATAAATACTCAGCCGTACACACCCACCAGCCTTTTGTTCTCCTCTTTTTTTTTTTTAATTTTGCAAACTTCTTTTGCTACTTAAGAATATGACATGGACCCCTCTTATTGAGATATATACTGATTTTATAATGTAATTTGCAGATAGTAAAGCTTGACAAAGACTTCTTGGAAAATGATTTTATATTGAGGAAAAAATGAAAAAGTATTTGGAGTTTGGAGAAAATATACCTTGTAATATTAACTTGGTTTATGATGCTTTTTAAAATGAGTGTGATGTTCATTTTTGGGTGAGTCATAAGCCTCTGTTTTTATGACTATCATAAACATAACTCTTATTTCTATTTTTATAATGAATATGTGTTTACATTAAATAAAATATTAGATATAGTAAAAAAAATAAAGAATGCAACCAGACCTCCTGGCCCAAATCATTATAAATATAATACCTGCCTCTCAGGTTAATTTGCAAGTCAATCTGTTTCCCCCCACCCATTCATTCTCCCAGGTATCTATCCATCCTCCCCAGCAACCATTTATTGGCCCCAAACAGAATTACCTATATTCCTCATCTCCCCCTACCTTCTAAAAAGAGGGTGTATAAATTTTTGGACCCCACTGGGATATTGGGTAACCACTCTGTGATTCTCCCTGTGCACAAGGTAAATAAATCTTTCTCTGATTAATCTGCCTTATTGTGAATTGATCTTTCAGTGAACCTTTTGGGGCAAAGGGTAAGTTTCCCTTTACCCCCATACCACCTTGATGGGGCAGGGAGTGACCAAGAAGCTGGATTTGGGTGGGCCAGACGAGACTCTTGGCTTTATATTTATTACTTAGTCTACTAAGTACAACAATAACATAATGAATTTGAACTTTGAAAGAAGTCTATGTAGTTCAAAGGCCTAATTGTCAGAGGATATTTTATGGCTCAGCGTGATAAATGCTACAACATGGTGATGGATTTTGGGGGTAGCATGCATTGTGGTGGGGGATGGGTTGAATGCTGTCTTCCCAGAAGATCTGTGTCCAAATGCCTGGAACCCATGCATGTTACTTTATTTGGGAAAAGGGTCTTTGCAGATATAATCAGTACCTGGATTACTTAGATGGGCCCTAAATCCATTGACAAGTGTCCTTATAAGAGAAAAGCAGAGAGGGATTTGAGACACACAGAGGAGAAGGTGACACAGAGACAGAGGCAGAGACTGGAGTGATGTAGCCACAAGCCAGGGAATGCCTGGGAGCACCCGAATCCAAAAGAGGCAAGAAATGGACTTTCCATTCCTACACAGGGAATGTAGCCATGTCAATACTTTGATTTCAGAATTCTGGCCTCCAGAACTATGAGAATACACTCGGCTGTTTTAAGCCGCCCAGCTTGTGGTCATTTGTTATGGCAGTCACAGGAAACTAATATAGGAGGGTAATTTCTTTTTCTGGAATGGCTGAAGCAGGCTTCCCTAGAAACGTGGCTCTTGTATTGCATCTGAAAGGAAGTAGAAGGGGAGAGAAGGCTACTCCAGGTGGGGAAACGGCAGGAGTGAAGGCACGGAGGCTTGGTGGCCTTGGGCTCAGCGTGGCTGGGTGTGCGGGGTGTTGGACGGCTAAGTGGGGAGAGAGGCAGAGGGTGAAGTACCATGTTTTCTGCTGATTTTTTTAGTTGGAGAAAGTAATTCACAAACAATTTAAGGATATTTCTAAGAGGACTGAGCAAATTCATGTCAGAGACAGAAATGGGGTAAAGTCTACCTTCAGTATCATGTTCACAAGGAAGGAAAACGCAGCCTGTAATGCCCGAGAAAAAGAGAACTGAGAACTGACTCCCTGTCTTCAGAATGCAGCGGCTTGTTGGGTCTTGAGGGCTCGGTTCTCAGCCAGTTTGCTCACATTCCTAGGCAGATGGTGTGCTCCGGTGTCCCTGTAATCCCTGCCAGAGTGGGAAGCCCCCAAGCTAGGGAGAAAACAAAATATTTTCATCGTTTGACATGATAAAGCGTGTGGCTCTGGAGTATAAGAACTAGCACAACCATGGCGTGTTCTGTCTTATCCCACCCCTCCATCCCTGTGGGAAACAAATCTCCACCAGCCAGCACATCGGAGAGGTCTTCTGGTGGCCTAGAAAGGGACAGGAGCCATACCCTTCCTTTGCGCACCGTGTGCGGACTTGACTTTGCACCAGCACGGATTCTGCGCTGCGCAGCAGGGTGCTTGCTGCGGTTGAACGTGGCTCCTCCTTGAGACCCTTAGAAATGCCCAAGCTGGGGACTTCTGGTGCTACAGATTGAGGCCAAAAAAAAAAAAAAAAAAAAAAAAAAAGAATGTGCTTACATACATGCCAGAAACACTTGCAGATGTACGGCTGAAAACATTTGTTTCACAGACTGACACTATAAATAGGATGTGGGCCAGCAAGGAGGCAGCACTTTGCATGGGTGGCCTTGTCTTCGTGGCAGAGAAATTTCCCAGCAGCACGCACCATTGGGGCTGGCTCTGGATCCAATGAAGCTGTCACGTCACCATTGTGACATGGCTCACGGCTGCCCCAGTGCCAAGCCTTTTCCCTCAATGTTCAAAACCCCATCTGCCATCATCTCTGGAAACGTCCGTGGCAGCCTAGGGGCTCTCACCCATTGGTGGCGCACCACGCAGGCAAATCCCGTCTGCCCTGTGGCTGGGGCAGGGTGTGGATGAGTGCACGTGTGTGTGAGGGTGTCGGGGTGACAGTGTGCATGCACGACTATGCGAACGAATGTGTTTGTGTGTATGAGTATTTTACGTTAGTGTGTACGTGTGAGGGTGTGAGTGTGTCTCCGTGTGTGTGACTCACACTCCGTGTGAGTGTGTGGGAGTGCTTGTGTTGATGTGGAAAATATCAGGTACTGGGTGGCGGCCGCTTGCCACCTCCCCACAGACCGGAGCTGCTCGGGGCCAGGGCCCGGGCCCTACCGCATGCCACCAGGGCCACCATGCTGGAATGCCACTGGGCCCACGTGCCACTGCCTCTGGGCCGGGCACTGACATCCGGTGTCCAGCCCCAGGTGCTTGGCAGTCTCCTGTCATCTGGCTGGAAGTTAAAGCTTGTTGGTGATTGGATGTTAGAGCTTGTTGCTGATTGGATGTTAAAGCTTGTAGTTGATTGGACACTCTTTGAGCCCTACCAAGGGTATATATAGAAGCAGGAGGAGCCCAAGGAAGGGGAGCAGGAAGAGTCAGAAGATGGAAGGCGCAAAGAGAGCTGTAACACTAGGTGTGCTGAGCCTGCTGTGGGAGAATAAAGGCCGTTCTCCGACTCTTCGTGTGCCGCTCGTGTGCCGCTCGTGTGCCGCTCGGTTCTTTCCCCAGTCGAGAGCTGTAACGCTAGCTGTACACATTGCCGCAACAGAGTGGGTGTGCGACTGTGAGTGTGGATGTGACTGTGTACGGATGAGACAGTGTGTGCATGTGTGTGAGTGTGCTGGTGCACGTGCAGCAAGTCCCAGCCAGGGAGAGTTCTGCTCCCAGCAGGGTCACAGCCCGAGCGCTGTGGGAGTCCTCACTTGCCCCTGAACAGCGGGAGGGAGGCTCCTGCCTGCTCCCAAGCAAAACCGCAGGCCTGGGGCTGGGAGTGTGAGGACGCGAAGGAGCCTGGAGAAGGGGGGTTCATCTGGTGGGTGACTAGGCACACAGCACGAGCCCCGCTGAGCGGAGACAGGTAGTTGCTGGGACAGGAGGAGGGCTCAGACCCATGGTCCTGTCCTGATCAGGCCACTGTGGGCCCACAGGGGGAACCAACACAGCAGGGAAGCAAAGGTCATAGGTAGAAGTGACTCTTCAACCCCAGCAGCCGATGAACTGGCCAGAGGAAGCAAAACAGGTGGGAAAACAACACTTCTCCAGGACCGAATGCGGGCAGAGCAGGGCAGTTTGACAGACTTGATCCAGAAGCTGGATACATTCATAATAAAAATTCCACGTGGTTGAGAAGAAAGCTTGGGCATTTGCTGTGCTCTCCAAACATTTATTCCCAGCCCAGTTTGGAAATAAATGAAGGCACCACGTGGCGTTCTTTGATGTCCATCATCTCACAGTCAAGGCTTCCAAATCTTAGGTCCATCTTACAAAAGGGGAAATTGAGGCTCACAAAGGTGAAGTAACTTGTCGAGAGCATAGGGCAGGATTGTAAGCCCGGGTCATGGGGACATGCCTGGGCAATGACAGGAGTCCTGATTGTGCTCTTCCTGGGCGAGTGTGGAGAGGCATTCATAATGGTGAAGGAGGTGTCCCTTCTCTGGTGACACAAACACCTGGTGCTTATTTTGCCTGGGAAGTGTCATAGGAACTAAGATGCACTCTCTCCTTCGCTCCTGATGATCTTGCAAGTTAGATATCATTATCTTACCTCCTTGTCTGGACCAAACGGAGGAAATTTCTCCAAGGACACACAGCCAGGTAATGCTGGAGGCGGGAGTCAAACCCGAACCTGTTTAGTCCCAGTTCTCTGGTCCATTCCACTTCCCGCCCTCCTTGCCCTCCCACCAACTCCCTGCCCCCGTGTCCTGTTGGCAGCTGGCCCTGCCCATGACAGGAGGTGCATTGCACCCATGCAACAATGCTCATTGCTCATTACTCAAGGCCTCCCAGGCCTCCCAGTGATTAAGCCCTTAGAACTTCCCCCAGCCTCGGGTGACATCATTGCATAATTAAGGTGACTGTGATGCCTGACTGCGTGCACCAAACAAAGGTCCCTTGTTTTAATTTATCATCCGAGCTCTCCTTATGCAAGACTGAGCTCCCACTGGTAATTAAGGGAGAAGGTTTAACCTGGCTGAATGAGAGCAGGGCTCGGGGCAAAGTGGCAGAAGGGTGACCCAATGTCAACTCTTAATTTGATATGGAAATGAGGGTACCAATAAAAGATAATAAGGGGAGGCTTACCCCAGAGAGAGGAGAGCTCAACACTAATTTGAAGCTTTCCTTTTATGTAATTTTCTTGCCAAGTAGCTAAATAGATTTTTTTGTCTCCTTTTATTTCTCAGCTGACCCTTTGATGGAGCTACTACTAAACGGTCACATGCCTGAAGTTGGTCACTTTTTCCCTGGAGCCCCGTGCTAAAGCACACAGATTCTGCAGCACACACTACAAAGATTCAAAGCCAGCTTTGCCACTTCACTAGCTTTGTGACCTCAGGCAAGTTACGTAAATCCCTGTACCTCAGTGACCGCATCATACTGGTACCTGCCTCAGCAGGGTGTTGTGAGGATTCAAGTGAGTTAATATATGTTCAGTCTTGAAGACAGTGCCTGGTGCGTGAGCACTTTGTGTTTGTTATTGTTCCTTCAAAACTCTCTTAACTGTCTGTGTACAATTTTACGGTGTTTTGTAAAGTAGGTGTTCAATAAATATCCTTTCAGGAGATTTTCTCTCTTCCTCTCATCCCTCTCTTTGTCCTGCTCTCTCCACAAACGGGGACCCCATTTCCACCTTTATACACAAGCAAAAGTGAATTGTGGGGCAGACCCATTGGCACAGGCTTACGATGAGTGAGAGAGGGACTCACCGTTGTGGGGTGCTGGGGCAGGTGGACAGCGGCCTAGACTGTGAGAGTCTGATACAGCACGTGCTTGGGGTGTGGATTTGCATTTGGAATGCATGCTTGAAGATGAATTGTTCACCATCTCTAGGAACTGACCAAGCCTGGGAGGGACAGTCCCCCCAGAGCCAGCAAAGCTCTAGACCCCCTGATGTCAAAGCATCGGAATGCAGAAAATAAAAGACATGCTTCACATGGTCTCTTGCCTCCTCCCTGCCTGGGAGGGGACTGTCAGTTGCCTTAATATAACTTACATTCAAGGGACCCCCAAGGGAAGCTGAATTGTACAGCAAAGCCTGTTTTCCTTACTGTGCCGAGCTCCCCTGCCAGCCCCCCGTAGCTGACTGGCCAAGCCAAGGATTCAGACGTAACAGGATCTGCCAGCGGGGGCCAGAGCGAGGCGCTCATGCGGTCAGCACTCCTTGGAGGGCTTTCTTCACCTGCCTCTACCTGTCTAAGGAGCTCCCGTGCCTTCTAGCTAGGGATGAGGCAGCTCCCTAAACTTTACCAACCATATCTTTGTTTCCTCCCTTGAATTTCCACACCATTTTTTTCCTATTCTTTCTTCATGGAACTTCTCACTTTCTGCCATTTAATATATTTTTATTTGTGTATCTGCCCTTCCCTCCTTTACATACCTGCAAGCACCCTGAGGACAGGGACTGAGTGAGTGCATCTCGTTCATTCCCTATGCTCCTTGAATTCAGCACTGTGCTTGGTGCAGAAGTGTCTAATGAGTACTTACTGAATAATGGAAACCTAATATTTTATGTTAGGTTCCCCAGAAGCAGACCCCAAAGCAAGGATTCTGGGAGAGTTGTTTATTTGGCCAGTGATCCCAAGAAGCACTGGTAGGGGTGTGGGGAAGGAGACAGGGAAGAGGGGGAGGCGGTCAGTATAGCGTGTGCTAACGAGCTGTTTACCACCGAGGGCAACAGGGGCTCGATCCTGCTGGTGTTCTGTGACAACAACAGCTCAAGTTGTCCCAGCTGGGTTATTTGTCCAGATGTCACTGGAGGTGGGCTGCCCCGGGCCAGTTAACTCCCTGACACATGAGTAGAACGTGTTCATGGGCAGAGCAGACCCTGCACAGGGTCCCAGATGGCTATGATAAAAAACCTAGCCATGACCTTGAGTGTCAATGGGCTATGGGTGGGGCACCTAGCCAGCTGCCATATCTAAGTTGTAAAATCAAGGTTAAAGAGCCACACGTTCTAAAATCTAGGCACTTGCAACTCTACCATCGGCCAAGAGGCAGAGAAAAGAAAAAAGGACAGATTTAAAGGCACTTGTTCATTTTACTGTCTTTGTCTTCGGTTTCTTGAGGGAAGGGATCAGCCAACATTGGGGGTAGTGGTTGATGTCTTCATGGGCCTCCTGAATTTTCCCACCCTATGCCTGGCTCCCACAGCTGGGAACATCTGGGCTGCATCCCAGGCTAAGCTGTCCGGAAAGCCATGGCATGGCCAAGGCGTGCTGTAGTTAAGACGGACTGGGGGGCCTTCCAGCTGTTGTGACTTCAGCTCATGCACACACAGCCCTCCCCCTATTCCAAGTGGCAATACACTCAGAGGATGCCGTGTTTATCTTTTCCCCCTTCACTTAAAGAGATGCCACGTCTCCCCTTTGCAGGGCATGTTGATGACCGTTTCCTCTCTTTGAAGCATCTGTGACTCTGGGCTTCAGGCTAGGGCGGCCTTTCTTATTTTGCTCACGTTCTCCCACTGCACAGAAGTGAGGTTTCTTGGAGCCTCAGGCCATACCAGCCTGGTGAAGTGGACGGTGGCACAAATTTAACCAAGGCGAACAGGAATCAAGATAATCTGAACCCCTGACCCAGTTTAGGACACCCATGTTAGAAACCCCACCAGGATGCGGT